TTAGTCTATATGTGATCCAGGCTCATGATTTTCTGTCTCTCTTTCTCTTTCTCTTTCTCTCTCTCTCTCTCTCTCTCTCTCTCTCTCTCACACACACACACACACACACACACACACACACACACACACACCCAGGCCTATGTTTGTTAAAGTTTGTAGGTCAGCAGTTGCCTAGGTATGATCAGCAAAACATTTAAGTTGCTATATCTGATCCCAACTGATTTACTTAAGGAGCCTGAGCTTTATCAGGTGTTGATTAGTTTATTAAATGGTGTTTTCAGCCTAACAAGGTGAACTTGTTTTATAATGTAAATATTTGCAAAGTGTATTTTGCTTGCTTTCATTCTCTTACCTACTGGAATTCCTCTAGCTCTGTTAATTGTGCTTTTTTTCTCTGATGAATCCCTGAGACTAATAGTGTTTAGCTGAGAAGAACCTGGAACTGGAAATCTGGGACAAGGTTGAGCGTATAAGAGCCATAGGAATAGACCAGGCCTGGGGAAGCCTCTGTGGACAGCATGGGGTCATGGCATCCATGGGAGTGGAAGATCAGAGTTGGGAAGTGGGTGAAGCTAGGCAGCAAGTAGAAATCAGAGACACAGGCTTGTTGGCATTTGATGGAAGTGATGTGAGCAGAGGACACAAAAGAGATAAGGAAGAATCCAGGTCATATCAAAGCGTAGTCTGCAGAAACGGAGAGAACTATATGACACCACTGGGACAACAGGACAGAAGTTCTTTTGGCATTTCAGTGCAAGTTGTTCCCTAGCCAAGAAGCTGCTTAGACATTCCCTACCAGTGTAGGATCCAAGCCCAGGGGTGCGCCTGCAGAACCCACTTGGAAAAGCACGTCATGGGTGTGTTTGCCTGAAAGGGAAAAGGAGATAACCTGGGAGTGTTCTAGCACCTCAGGAGAGATGTTAAGGACGTGTGGCAACACAGACATAATCAGCACTTTGCTGAGCATTGTGTATTCTATGACTCACAAGCCTTGGTTATCACACACCCATCTTCCTGGCAGTTAAACCACTAGGCCAGGGCTGGGAAAGAGTAAACGGGTCTTCAGGGATCTGCTCCATCTCTGACTACTAAACCAGAAGGCACTGTCAAGGAGCTGCCATAAAGAAGGTCAAGATGCTTCTGTCTAAAAGCGGCTGAGTAGCTTGCATTCTGTGTACATGTCTCCATTCTCTTTTTTAGGGTTTTCCTAGCAAAAAAAGAGGTCTGTTTGCAAAGGACTGAATTGGTATAAACCATGTAAATCAAGGTTCATGAATGAGAAAAATGTGATTTGAGACAATGTAAATAGTTTTGTTGCATATGACACATATGCATTTAGATATGTAATATTTGCATGTACATATATAGTATATAGTACATATGTAGTATAAATACATGTTTATTTATAAATTTATATTAGGAATTTCTAAGAATTAGGAGAGCTTCAATTATGAATTATTTTTAATGGTGTTTTGATACTTATTTTAGATATTAGTACAAAATTACTTTGTCTACCTTTATTTTTATTTATTTTCAGAAATTAGATCAACTTACAGGAAATAACTAATTAACATTAAAAATCTCATGTATATCGCCACAGACTCACTTCTAATTATACGTCTGATTGTCTGTATATTTGCTTTTTGACTTAAATTACTTTATGTATACATTTTAATGATATAAATTACTTAGTGTTTATTTTTAATAGTTCTATTATCGAGTTATGTAACATATTTTGATTATAATTCTCTTATTTCTGACCAATCAGGTAGGTAATATTTTTATTATTGGGAAATATCATTGGTATGAACTTTTTTTTTTTTTGAGTTGGAGACTCACTCTGTCACTCAGGCTGTAGGGCATTGACATGCTCCCGGTCACCGCAGCCTCAATCTGCTGGGCTCAGGCGATCTTCCACCTCAGGCTTACAAGTAGCTGGAACTACAGGCACACGCCACCACACCCGGCTAATTTTTTGATTTATTGTAGAGATGAGGTCTTGCCAAGTTGCCCAGGTGGGTCTTGAACCCACGGGCTCAGACAGTCCTCTCACCTTGGCCTCCCAAAGTGCTGGGATTATAGGCATGAGCTACCGTGCCCGGCTGGTATGAAAAAATTTTTTTTTTGTTGAGTTGCAGTCTCACTCTGTCACCCAGATTGGAGTGCAGTGGCACGCTCCCGGCCACAGCAGCCTCAACCTGCTGGACTCCGGTGATCTTTCCGCCTCAACTTTCCAAGTAGCTGGAACTACAAGCTCGCGCTATCACACCTGGCTAATTTTTTTTTGGGGGGGATTTATTTTAGAGACAAGGTCTCGCCGTGTTGCCCAGGCGGGTCTCAAACCTGTAGGCTCGGGCAATCCACTCACCTCACCCTCCCAAAGTATGGGATTACAGGCTGAGCCACTCGGAATGAACCTTTATTAACAAATTATTTTTGGGTTGTTTCCTTGGGGCATTTTCTCCAAAGTCAGATAACCAGTCAAAGGGCAGGAACAATTTTATAGCTTCTGTTACACATTGCCAGGTTGTTTTCCAGAAAGATTGAGTTAATTTTCCATGCCACTATCAGTGTATAAGGCACAATTCCAGTTTGAGACAATTTAGACAGTCTGGGCACACATGAAAAGTACAATTACATGCTTACACCGAGACCTAGCTGAAAAGATAGCTCTCACAAGTAAACTTAATATGTGGACTTTGAAATAATAGAACTGATAAAGCATGTAGCTAATTTGTTCTTCAGAATATGGAGCCTTGATATTAGAGCTTTTTGGGACTGAAGAATGTGTGGTGTTGAGGGGAAGGGACTTTTTGGACCAGGGTGGTACTGTGATCACATTCTGTGCGATATCATTAAGGTCCAGAGCCAGGGGAGAGTGAGAGAGCCAGGTCCCAGTGATGCTGCTGCTCGGGAGGTGGTCTGGCCTGTGAGGGGAGTCCCAGAGGGCTTGGTGGAAGTTGTAGGATAACGAGTGTCCTTTGGATCAGGTGGGCAGCAAAGGAGAATAGGATGTTTAGTGACTGCCCTTTGGCCATCAGTCAGCAGGCCATATACCTCTTGGGTAGCTGCTAAACGAAGACCTTCCTCATTCGAAATGTCAACTCAAGGGTGTCGGGGTGATTTTTTTTCCTTTATGACATGGCGTTATCAGTTTTATAATGGAAGTTGACAGAGATTATAGATTATATGGAAATCCAGTCATTGCATAAGGATGTACTTGCTTCGTCTATAAAGATTTTTATAAAGGAGAAACTTAGACCTTTCCCTGAGAAATAAATTTCCCTCGTTGCTCATGCATGCTGACATGGCATTGTACGTTTACCAGCTTCCTCAATGACTTGCAAAAATTCTATAACCTAAGTACTCATACAGAACTTGTGACAGCCTACCATAGAACAGGACCAGGAGGGTACTGCACAAGACAGACATAGTCCATGCAATTTGGAAAGGCAAAAAGGAACAAAGTCATTGATAAAGTGTCTGGTTGTTTAAAAATTGCCCTGTGTATTTATATTTTTAAGGGTCTTATTGTAGAGATTCCAAGTCATAAAATTAAGTGGAAGTTGAGATATAAAATTGTTTTAATTTTCAGATCCCAAAGTAGAAGTAAGTATTGATAGGCAGAGAGAGGAGGGATACATTAAAATGATTAAAATCGGAGAGAAACCGACTAGCACTATGACATGACCTATCTAGGGATTTATTTATTTTATATTGTTAATAGATTTTTTTGGTTGTAAAGTATATCTAACATGGTAGGCAATCTTAACCATTTTAAGTGTATAAAATTCAGTGGTGTTAACAACATTCACAATTATCACTATTACTTTTTTCTTTTGAGTTGGAGTCTCTGTCACCTAGACTGGAGTGCAGTGGCTGCTGCCGGCCACGGCAGCCTCGACCTGCTGGGCTCCTGCGATCCTTCCACCTCAGCCTTTCAAGTAGCTGGAACTACAGGCGCACACTACCACGCCTGGCTAATTTTTGATTTTATTGTAGAGATGAGGTTTCACCAAGTTGCCCAGGCGTGTCTCGAGCCCGCGGGCTCAGGCAATCCACTCACCTCAGCCTTCTAAAGTGCTGGGATTACAGGCTGAGCCACTGAGCCCAGCTATCACTATTACTTTTAAAACTTTTTCATCACTTCAAACATTAGGGATTTATTTTGTAATTGGTTATCTCAGAAATTTTCAGCTTAAAGAAATGCGGCATTCAAACCCCCTTTTTTTTTTTTTTTAAGTGTCAGTGTTTGCTATATGTTTGGGTTGATTCTGCTAGTCATACGTCCTTTGTTCATCAGTTTCCTTTTATCTTTTCTGTGGCTGTGTGCTTGGCTGAAGAGGTGCCCATTTGTGTAGGGGAAGGAGGGTTATTGTTGTGTCAAGAGCATATGAATAGCTATGTTCCTCTGCTGAAATCTCCAGAGTAACTCTGTTTGCAGGAGAATATGAGTTGTCGGGTTTCCTTTGGCTTATTTGGTGTATTTTAAAATTAAAAGGCAAATATAATATTATTGACAATTTAGAAAAAAAGGTAAGAACCTGTCATCGCTTTGAACACAAAAATGATTATTATTTTTTTCACATTTCATACCTATCTTTTTGCATATATATTTTTGACATAGTTGATCATTATGGATCTAACATACAAGTAGCTCATGTTTTTCATCTGACATATCACTTAAAGGTTTTCATGTTGCTCAATACTCTTCATAATAAATGATCCAAGGAATGCATGTAGCTTAATTTACATAATCATAGTATTTTCTTTGATATTTTGGTTGTCGAAATTTATAACTATTATAAGTAAGCATCTTCCTCAATCTTCTATAGTTTAATCCTTTTATTTTATTCTCATAAGGGAGAGACACACATGCAATACTAATATATATCTTGTGGGCAATGGCTTCTACATTTTTGGTGAAGATTTGGCAAAAATCATGGTGGTTGTAATTATGATGAAATCAGATGGATGATAAATGTTTTATTTGGTTACAGGTTGTGAAAATCTTAGAGAAGCATGACCCCTTGAAGAACACCCAGGCAAAATATGGGTCTATTCCTCCAGATGAGGCCAGTGCTGTGCAGAATTATGTAGAACACATGCTTTTCTTGCTGATTGAAGAGCAAGCCAAGGATGCTGCAATGGGGCCAATTCTGGAATTTGTGGTCTCCGAGAACATCATGGAGAAACTCTTCCTCTGGAGCTTGAGAAGGGAATTTACGGATGAGACGAAGATTGAACAACTGAGGATGTATGAGATGTTGGTCACCCAGTCGCACCAGCCTCTACTGCACCACAAGCCCATTCTGAAGCCTCTAATGATGTTGCTGAGCTCCTGTTCAGGAACAACCACTCCCTCTGTGGAGGGGAAACTGGTTGTCCTACTCAATCAGCTCTGCTCCATCCTTGCCAAAGATCCATCCATTCTGGAACTCTTCTTCCACACTAGTGAGGACCAAGGGGCTGCCAACTTCCTCATCTTCTCCCTTCTGATTCCCTTCATTCACCGCGAGGGGGCAGTAGGCCAACAAGCTCGGGATGCTCTGCTGTTCATCATGTCTCTCTCTGCTGAGAACAGCGTGGTGGCCCAACACATCGTGGAGAACACCTACTTTTGTCCTGTAAGTCCCTCTCCTTGGCCTATTTTTCTCCCTCTCTCCTTCTCCCTGCCTGTGCTAGTGGTGAATACTTATTTCTTTTTTTTTCAGCAGGTTTTACCTGGCACCCTCTATGGAAAGATGTTTAGAGAAAATCTTTTGCAGAAAGCAAATGAATCTAGTTGAGGCGCCGTTTGGCTGTGCAGTGTCAGCCTAGCATGAGCCAACAGAGGAGGCTAGATGTGTTCCTGTTTCTTGGTTCATTTTCATTGCATTAGGAGTGATTTTTTTTTTTTTTTTTTGAGTTGGAGTCTCACTCTGCTGCCCGGACTGGAGTGCAGTGGCCACTCCCGGCCACCGCAGCCTCGACCTGCTGGGCTCCTGCGATCCTTCTGCCTCAGCCTTCCAAGTAGCTGGAACAACAGGCGCGTGCTACCGCACCCGGCTCATTTTGATTTATTGTAGAGATGAAGTCTCGCCAAGTTGCCCACGTGGGTCTCGAACCCGTGGGCTCCAGCAATTCACTTACCTCAGCCTCCCAAGGCGCGGGATTACAGGCTGAGCCACTGAGCCCGGCGATTTTTTTTTTCTAAGAGCTTATCCTGATAAATGGTAAAACCTGTACTTTCTAATTCTTAAGCTTTTTTTTCAGGTTGAATCATAGCACGTGGTAAAACTCTTCACAGCTGGTTTCACAAATTATTTTGTTTCTCAGCAAGATTAATGGCCATTAGTTGTAGTGTGTTTGCTTGTCATGAGGACATGGGGTGGCAGGGAGGGGATTCTACAGGCATTTCGTGGGCCGCACTGACAACCCCAAGTGCTGACAAGGATATGGAGCAACAGGAACTCTCACTTGCTGCTGGTGGGAATGTGAAATGATACAGACACTTTGGAAGAAGGTCTGGCAGCTTCTTATAAAACTAAACATCCTCTTACCATATGGTCCAGCAATTACAGTCTTGGTATTTACCCAAAGGAGCTGAAAACTTATGTCCATGCAAAAACCTGCTCACGGATGTTTATAGCAGCTTTATTCATAATTGCTAAAACTTAAGATGTCCTTCAATAGGTGAATATATATATAATCCTTGGTACATCCAGATAATGGGGAGAAATGAGCTATCAAGCCATGAAAAGACACGGAAACCTTAAATGCATATTACTAAATGAAAGAATAGGCTACATACTAAGTGATTCCAACTATATGGCATTCTGGAAAAGGCAAAAACTATGGAGACAGTAACAAGATCAATGTTTTTCAAGGTTTGGAGCAGGGGGAGGGATGAGTAGGTAAAGCACAGTGGAGTTTTAGGGCAGTGAAACTGCTTTCTATTATGCCGTATGGTGGATACACGTCATTACACATTTGTCCAAACCCATAGAATATAAAACACCAAGAGTGAACCCTAATGGAAACCACAGATTTGGGATGACTGTACTATGTCACTGTAAGTTCATCAGTTGTAACCAATGTACCATTCTGGTGGGGGGGTTTGATAATGGGAGACTGTACACATGTGGGTGTGGGGGAATATGAGCTCTCTCTGTAACCGTCTGCTCGATTTTGTTAGGAGCCATAAGCTGCTCAAAAACAAACAAACAAACAAAACCTCCTTAAAAAGTCAGTTTTAAAACATGGAACTAATCCGATCTGTAAAAAACATAGGAAAAAGAAAAGTCAGTTTTGTGGCCAGGTGTAGTGATTCATTCCTGTAATCCCAGCATTTTGAGAGGCTGAGGTGAAAGGATTGCTTAAGCCCAGGAGTTTGAGACCAGCCTAGGCAACATAGGGAGCCCTTATCGCTAAAAAACTAAAGAAATAAAAACAGTTTTTAAAAAGTCAGCTTTGTGAGTGAGCTATATGAGGTTGGGTTTTAACTTATTTGATTGTTTTGAGTTGTTTTGCTATTAAAGGATAAAAGGTATTGTAATAAATCATCAAAATATTCAGGTGGGTCTCCTGACCAGTATGCAAAAGGCAAGGTGATACCATTTACGAAAGCACAATCATGAGGTATTTTGAAATAAATCTAACAAATATATGAAAGGGGAAAATTCTAAAATTTTATTGAAGGTTATAAAAGAAGGCCTAAATAAATAACTCTATAATTTGTCAATACCATATAGATGGGACATTCCTGCAAATCAGTCTATGAATTAATACAATTTATGTTTCACAACTTTTTATTATGAAAAAAAGTAGATTACAGAAAATTTAGAAGAATGCTTTAATGAACTCCAAATACACACCACCTAGATTCAGAATTGTTAATATTTTGCCATTCTTTGGTATATTTATCATGTGTTCTTTTAATTTATTTTCACTGTACATTTGAAGTTAAGTTGCAGACATTGGTTCCTTTAGTATGTATCTCCTCTGAATAGGGACATTTTCCTACATAACCATAATACCAGTGTTATACCTAAGAAAATTGTACAATGATTCCTTAATATGATCGACTCTCCAGTTCTCCCATTATGCCTCAAGTTACATTCATAGTTTTCTTTCTCCTGAATGTGTCCAATAAAAGGTTTACATCTGGCTATCATGTCTCTTGAGCCTGTTAGTATATAGCAACTGGCTACTTCTCCATGACATTGGCTTTTGAAGAGAGCAGACCATTCTCTTGTAGAACACCCCACATTCTAGGTTTGTTTGATTGTTTCTTGTGTAGTTGTCCCTATCCTCATGTCTCCTGCAAATTGGAGTTAGGTCTTATATGCCTAATTAAATATAGGTTACACATTTTTGGCAAGAATACTTTACAGGTGTTGCATTTCAAGAGGTGTGTGTTAGGTTGTCTCACAGTTGGGGTTCAGTAAGACATCAGTTAATACTTATCAGAGTGGCTAACCATTAGACATCTGATAACATCAAATGTTGTCAAGGATAAAAACAAAAACTTTGGACAACATAAATTGGTATAATAACTCAAGAAAGCAATATGGCAATATTTAGTAAAATGGAATATTTGCATACCACATGATTTTACAATTTCACTTCTAGATATTTGCCTAGAAATCTAGCACATGTTTATAAGGATACATATTTTAAAATGTTCAGTAGAACAGTGATTTGAAGAGAAAAATATGAAGTTAAAGATAAATAAACTAATTTATTCATACATCAATGGGATATTAGTCAGTATTCCAAGTGAATGAATCACTTGTATTATATAACTACATATATGAGCAGTGATCAATTGAAAAACATGTTGAGTAAGTAAAAAAATAAGTAGCAAAAGGCTACATATATAGTATGTTAGTGTTTCCATAAAATTTACACAAAGTTTAAAACACAGAATCTTAGTATATACTGTTTTTTGGATACATATATATCAGCAAAAGTAAAAAAAAAAATAAGCACAGAATACTATGGTTTCTTTTGGGGGTGAAGGAAGGAGAAAGGATAGTGATAGGATTGGAGTAGGGTTTCATTTTACTTGTAATATTTTATTTTTCGAAAAAATAAAGGTTACTCTGAAGAAGTTTTGGCAAAATGTTAAAAGCTGGGAAGTCTCAGTGATGAGTTTCTATCCTGTTTTGTATTTTTTTAATATTTCATAATTTAAAAATTTAAAGATATCCTGACAAGATGGAGCATGTTTTATTGCTTAGATTTCCATAAGCAGATCTGTGCCATAAGCAGATTTTACCGAGTAACTGTTGCTTTTATAAAAACATATTTTAAAACACTGTACAGTTCATTAAAATTGGAGGGAAAACAACGTATCCAGCTGACCTTGTTTGCTAGAATGGAACACGAGCTCCATTGTGTTAAGTTGCCCCTCAGGATAGAGCCCATAATCTCATTTGTTCCCAGTTTTCCATAATTACATCTGACAACATAATTAAAAAAAAAAGGTCTCTTTATGTTGAAGATAAAAGCATACTCTATTAACCATCCGGCTAAGGACCACAATTGACAAAAAGCTTTCTCTAATTAGTATGATTGTCAAAGTGTGTTAGCGTCAGGCTGTTGGGAGAGTAATGACTCTTTCAGGAAACTGGACCACTTTTGGAAACCGTCATTGCTGTAGTTGACAAGAAGAGCTTGCTCTTATCTCACGATGCGACTCCCCAAGAAAATGAGGAGGATGAGGATACTCTGGGGAACAGTTTGGTGCCAACAGATGGTTGAGGACTGAATGACCCTATCACTTCGATTTTTTTAAGCCAAATATTGATTGTTAAACCCGTGCCATTTGTCACATATTGGCAAACAGAAAACAGCATACATAAATCAAGAAATGCAAATTAAAACCAGCCACCTTTTGGAACACAGCCGCAGGTAGAACATTCTTCATCCCATATCCAAAATTTATGAGGCTTTTTATTTTGGCAAGTTGTATCAAATAGTCCCCACCAGGTGTTTTGCTGTGAGCTTCAGACTGAAGCCATCTGCTAAAAATCTTTGTGTTTGCTAAAATTAACTGGGTATCATTAGATGTTTAAAGTTAAACATTGCTTGGCTTGTTCAGTGCTGTGTGCTTGTCATCTTTCTTAACTCTATTGGAGACATGGCTGTGTGTAAAACATTATGCTAATCTTGTAACATGCATTCTTTTCTTTAATCCTTGCAACAACTCTGAAATTTAGAGAACTTTAATAACTGCCTGTCAGTGGCAGAGCCTGGTTCAAAACCATGTGACTCAGATACTAAAATCCTTGATCTTAGCAACTACCATGCTGTACTGCTGTCCGGAAAGTTGTTGGCTTTTTGTCTCTTGTTATCCATATGATTTTATATAGTGATTTGGTTTATTGTGAGGAGACGCTTGGGAGAAGATAAATGAAAAATATTGGGTTAATATTTAATGTGCTGGGAATAAATGTTTTGCAATGAACTTTTTTGTAGTCAGGATCAATAAAAGTCTAAAATAGTGGATAGGCATCTTATTTTTAATAAACTTATTATTAATAAACTTATTTTTAATAAACTGTTGAATACATATGTATTTAAAAAAAATTTTTTTTAAGTGAGAAGGCAGGATTTATTGAGAGAACAGAAAAACTCCCAA